AGAATCGATTACTCTTATGTTTGCAGCTGAGATTCCAACATTGATATGCCACTGAGAGAGAATTCAGGATAAAGGGTAGATGGTAGAGATGGATAATGAGTTTAGTTTTGTGCTCATTGCATTTGAGATGCCTGTGGGATGTACTGGTAAAGATAGCTGGCAAACAGTTGATCAAATAAAATTTAGGAATCATCAATTCTTAGATAATAGCGAAAACCATGAAAATGGATGAGCTCACTCAGAGAGAACAGATAGAATGACAAGTGAGAGCGACCAGTAGAAAAAAATCTTCGGGAACACCAGCATTTATGGGTGGGCTAAAGGAAGGATAGCCAGTGAAGGAAACTATGAAAAGAGTGTCAGAGCTGTGAAAGGACACCCTGAAGAACAGGGTGCCATATGAGGCAAAAGAAAACAGAATTACAAGGAGGAAATGGCCTTTCCGTATTGAATGAGATTTTTTTAATGGCCCAATGGAGTTGGCAATAGGCTATCATTGGTGATGATCCTCGGAATAATTATTTAACAAAGTGTCAAAGGCAGAAATCAGATTATGGCACATGAAAGACTTAATGGGAAGCAAGACTATGGAGAAAGCAAGTGTTGAGAATTTTTTTGAAGTCTTAATAAGAATCTGAGGTCCTCAAGAGAGGAGTAATGGAGAGTAGGAAGGACAAAGAGTCTGGGAGAGCAACATGAATTGGGGGAAGTTGCTGAGAAAGGGAAAGGAGCTGGCCAAGCACTAGGGAAGGATGAACATGTGGTATTGAAGATGCTTTTGAGCATAAAACCCAGAAAATGTTAGTGGCAACAATCCATGCTTTAGGGTTGTTTCGCTTCCCTGTCAAAAGGTGAGCCGCAGAATTAGCCCATAGTTAGGTCAAGTTGCCAAAGAAAAATCTGCTTAGACGCAGTGGTTCTCAACCTTCTGGCCCTTTAAATACAGTTCCTCATGTTGTGACCCAAGCATAAAATTATTTTCGTTGCTACTTCATAACTGTAATGTTGCTACTGTTATGAATCGTAATGTAAATATCTGATATGCAGGATGGTCTTAGGCGACCCCTGTGAAAGGGTCGTTCGACCGCCAAAGGGGTCGCGACCCACAGGTTGAGAACCGCTAGCTTAGAGGATCATTGGCCATACGGTGACACATAGCCACCTCTAACCACTAAGCTAGGCTGGGAAGGCAGACTTCTAGATTTCCAGTCTCTAGTGGAATGAACAAAGGAAAGTTGGAAGTATCTGTTGGTTTATCTAATAAGCAGGGTTTGCCCCTGAGACCAAGATTCAACTTCCTCATAAACCAATCAGTTTAGCATAGAAAGCCCAGCTACACTGCCATGCAGATGGTTAGCTAGGAGTCTCAGAGATGCCTGCTTTTATGCAAAGGCTATAAGAGGAACAAGCATGTTGTGAATGATCTGATGTGGCCCAGCCCCAGTGTCAGAAAAACAACTCAAAGTGCATACCTTAATAAAATGATTGAGTGCTAATAGTTTTAAAGCCCACAATATGTGTTCTGCCGAAACAAAGCAATCCCCAAGATAAATATACACCACGGAGCCTCTAAAAGGGTTTGTGCAAGTGTGTGTGTGTGTGTGTGTGTGTGTGTAGTAACCTATCTTGACTATAATCTCCCAAACAGCAGATTCTGTCAGCCTTGCTTTTTTGCAGATTTCCATTTGACATTTAAGAGCTCATTGGTTGTTTGTGTTGTCATTGTTTGCCATTCTCAGCATTTCTTTGCTCCGTGTACTCCTTCTTGTTAAGAAAACTTCGTAAACTTCAGTGAGCCCTCAAGAATTCACAAGCCAGCTTTTCAGTAGAACTCTGGGCATGATTTTTCATGTTGCTTTACTAAAGTGTTATCTTTTTGCTATAGATTACAGTCAAGCGAAATGTGCAGTGTGCTGCTATCTAAACTGTTTTTACCTCACTTGTTGCAAGTTTTATCTTGCCATTAAGTTACTGTACTTGTCTTGTTGGTGTTTTTTTTTAAATCCTCACCAAAGGAGTGAGGATATTTGTTCCATTGATTGTTAGAGAGAGTGGAAGGGAGGGGGGAGGGAAAGGGAGACAAAGAGAAACATTGATGTGAGAGAGAGACAATGAGTGGTGTCCTGTATGCCCCTCCTCCCCCGACCAGAGCTAGGGATTGAACCTGCAACCCAGGCACGTCCCCTTGACTGGGGATCAAACCTTGACCCTCCAATTCTCAGGTCAATGCTCTAACTATTAAGCAACACCAGCCATGGCTGCTTGTTTTTTTTTTAATGGCACAGTTTGGCAATGTTCGGTTGCTACACATAATGAAATTATATATTTCTATAATAAAGCAGTTGTTGTTGTTTTTTACTTTCTTGGTGGAATTTGTCCAGAATGCCTTTGATAGACTTTGGGATATTAGTACAGTAGTCCGTCCACCCTTATCTCTGGTTTTGCTTTTCACAGTTTCAGTTACCTGCAGGCAACTGCAATCCAAAAGTATTAAATAGAAAATTCCAGAAACAACAATTCATAATTTTAAAGTGCACACTGTTCTGAGTAGGATGATGAAATCTCAGCACCCTGTTCTGTCCTGCCTGGGATGTGACTCATCCCTTTGTTCAGCGAATGTATGTGCCACCCTCCCTTTAGTCACTTGGTAAGTAGCCCTTACAGATCCGCTGTCATGGTGTCACAGTGCCTGGTTCCAGTCACCCTAATTTTACTTAGTAATGGCCCCCAAACACAAGAGTAGTGAAAGATGCTGGTAATTTGGATACAAAAGAGAAGCTGTACAGTGCTTCCTTTAAGTGAAAAGGTGTATATGTATAGGAAAAAAACAAGGTCTGTTTAGGGTACCATTCATGGTTTGAGGCATCTGCTGGGGGTCTTGGAACGTGTCCCCTGCTGATGAGGGGAAACCACTGTAGAACTTTGAACCTCAGACCATGAGTCCAATTTCTTCAGGATCTGATTCCTACCTCTTTTTATGGATACATAGTAGCTCTCTCTGCCACAGTTAGTGTCACACAGCAGAGGAATCCAGGAGCTCCAAAGCCCTAAAATGCTTTGAAATACTCCCTCAGTGTTGCCTGTGGTTGCTTTCACCCCACCTGCCAAATGAAGACCTGAAGGCGGTGATCTCTCCTGGCGATGAAAGAACATAAGTCATGTTCACAGTACAGGAGAGTGGTGCTGCCTCACATGGAGCCTCCTGCAGATCGAGCTCTGTTCACCTTAGATGATGCCACGGCTGGAAATAATTTTAAGTCTACTTCGCTACACTCCCTTCCTCCTTACACATCAGTTCCTTTAAACAAAGTCTTTTTTTCATGTTTGCTGTGATAATTTATTAAAGTCGGGTTCCATAGGGAAGAACTATCCTTCTAAGTCTTGACTGTCTCTCTGCTTCCTTCTCCGGGCTTGGCCAGAGCCTAGGCATCCATGCAGCCCTGACAGCCCATCACTGTAGATGCAGCTGCAGCCAGATGTTGACTCCCTACCCTGAAGGTGAACACCTCCTGGCGCTTAGTCAGTAGTGCCTGGCCACATCCAAAGGATATTGCGTCCTCCAATCAGGAGAATTGTCAGATGGAAAAGCAAAAATAACTGATAAATGGAAATTAGACTTCAAGATGGATAGAATTAGCTTTTAAGTAACTTGTTGCTATAATTAAGCTTCTTAACCTGGACAAATCAAATGCTAATGAATACTTATTATTTGTGTTTATTATTTATGTTAATATTGAGTGCGTTTTATGTGCTATTGGTCGAAGAGTTTTATCTACATTAATCTATTCAATACTCCCAACAACCTCATGTTCTAGGTACTATTATCTCCATTTTATAGAAAAAGAAACAGGCCGACAGAATTTAAGTAATTACCTCTTGGACACATAGTAAGTAGTGGGGACAGGACTCAGGGCCAGTCTTTGAGGCTCTAGAGAACTAAAAGATCTCTTGAATGAAATTGTGAAGTTACTGTTGGCAGCCTTTGAGAGATTGTGGGAAACTGGGTACATAACTGAAACCTAGACGTAAACAAATGTAGTTCACATTTCTGCTGCTCAGTCTTTTCCTGAAGTCAATGTCCAAGATCTATTGAATATTGTGTCAATTACTTGGGAAAAATATAGAAGTTAGCTTTATAAAATTTTCCAAAAAGACCTTTGTAGGACTTTTAATTGACTCTGAGCTCTATATGAGTTCAAGTATAACATAAAACCACGGCCCGCCCCCTGAACACCTTAGCCTTACGTGCAAGCAGCATGGCATCTAGAGCGAAGGAGTAGATAGCTCTCTCTAGACAGGCCAGACCCCTCTGTATTTTTTTTCCCTCTGCAGTATTTATTGTGTGTGGTCCTGCATTGCACGTTTCAAGGGAGATACAGAATAACAAGGATGTTTTTATTGGTGAAGTATGAGAACTGTAAAATTATTCAATTCACTTATTTAAAGAATCATTAAAAAACGGGGGACGGACATTTAGCCTGGAAAAGGGAAGACTTCAAGGAAGCCAAAGGCGATGTCTTTAATACTTGAAGTGCTGACACATACGAGAATGACTGTAAAGTTGGCAAGATCAGGGCAGACAGATATGACTTGATGTAGGATGGTCAGATCCTTCAGAGATGGGCTCGGCTGCCTCAGAAGGTGTTGAGTGCCCTTTCACAAACATTTGTGTGGCTGTGGGACCCGAAACTGAACAGCCACCTGCAGATGTGTAAATGACACAAGCATAGACCACATGGTTGGGCCAGATGACTGTTGAGGTCACTCCCAACTCTGAAGGTCTGTTTTTTGTCATTCTGCAAACAGATTCAATCATCTGGGCTTCTGTGTTTAATCAAGGACAGAAATAGTCTATCCTGTCTTGGACGTCTAATGCTGCCAACACTAGCATTAGCCAAATTGGTAAAAACAACATGATGAACAACAAAATAACATGTCATTTCAAAACCCAGTAGGCATGTAGTGAAATGATTGGTGTTTGTCCTCCCCCCTTTCTCCAGTGCTTTCTCCTGCTCAAGATGGTCACACGAACATGGATCTGCCCCCGGTGTCGGAGCAGATCATGCAGACCCTGAGTGAGCTTGCCAGATCTTTCCAGGACATGGCCGACCGCTGCCTGCTGGTGCTGCATCTGGAAGTCAGGTATGACTCGGCCACCCACAAGTCGCCAAGATTGAAACCCACCGTGGGTCATAAATCACTTGCTTTTTTTCTGGAAAATATCACCATAATTTTTTATCATCATCGGTATTGTTCCTTTTTTACACTGGCAGTGATTTGTAGTGTTATTCAGCGACTCTGCAGTGTTTTGAGCACGTGTTGTATTGTGAACACGGTGATTCAGAGTTTGCAAGGCTTGTGATATCAGAATGGCCTGGATTTGAATGTCTATACCAGGTGGCTAGTTGATCTTAAGACAGTTAGTTACATTTACTAACCCTCAGTTTCCTCATCCTAAAAATGGAAACAAGAATCCCTAACTTGTAGATTTTATAAATGACATAATTAATACAGTGCCTGTTACATAGTAAGGATGCAAAATGTGATAGCTTTGTGATTATGGTGATTTTATTGTCACTGATGTTTTTACTAAAGTGCTCTGCTCATCAAGAAGGTAGTATAGAGATTCAGGAACAATGGTCCCTTCCTTCAAGTCTTAAAACCCAATAGGAGAGAGTAAGTTAAAATAATAATTCATGAAAATACTGGCCTCTTGTTTCTTCCCCTGCAGCGTGGAATATTCTGAGTACTTTGATAACTGCTGTTATTACACATATGGAAATGCCAGGATGAAAAGACTAGGGAGCCTTTACTTGTTGATTCATTCATTTAATAAATATCCATTGAGTGCCTTCTTTGTTCCAGGTAGTGTTATAAAAGTTGGGATATAGGAATGGAAAAACACCGAAGGTCCCTACTCTCCTGGAATTACATTCTAACGGGGAAAATAGCCAATGAGTAAACAAAAAAGATGATTTCAGATAAGAGCAACCAAAACAAGGAAATGGCAAAATGGAATCGAGCAGTGCTATCCAATAGAAATATAAAATGAGCTACACGTGACCCAAATAGATAATTTAAATTTTCTACAAGTCACATTTGAAAAAAGAATATAATTTATAATTGTGTAAATTATAACACATATTTTATTTAACCCAGTATAACCAAAATATCATTTCAACATGTAATTAACATAAACATTATAAATGAGACATTTTGTATTTTTTTGTCCCAAGCCTTTGAAATCTGCAGATTTTACACTCACATCACATTGAATGTTGGCCTAGTCACGTTCCCAGTGCTCCAGCGCCTCCCTGTGGCCAGTGCTGTCATCCTGGGCAGTGCCGGGAATGGCTGAGGGGATGAGAAAGCGGGAGTTGTGTGTGTGTGTTTGTTTTTTGGATAGAGTGGGCAGAGGAAATGTGGCAAGGTAACAAGAAGGAGCCATCTGTACAAAGACCTAGGGGAAAGGGCTTCAGACTCTCTGAGGGAGAAACACCACAAGGTCCTGAGACAAAATCAGGCTTGGAAGAGAGAGACGTTAGCTGGTTGTCACCCAGGGAAAAAGGGGAGGAGGAGGTGGCGTGAAAGGGTAGGTAAAGGAGTGGGCTGGAGCCTGGTTATGTGGGGTCATGGAGCCTGACACATTCTAGGGTCTTACAGACCAAGTGAACAGTTCACATTTTTTTTCAGGTGCATTAAGAAGCCATGTGAGGTTTTTAAGCAGGAGAGACATATTCATTCATTCATCATTCATTCACTTTTTTTCAATTTTTTATAAAAATTAAATTTATTGGGTGACATCTACACTAATAAAAGAGAAACAAGGTAATTAGTGTACGACCACTACCCTTCCCATTGGCTAATCAGCATATCCTTATGCAAATTAACTGTCAGCCAAGATGGCGGCCGGCAGCCATGCACTGAAGCGAGCAGGGAGGCTTGCTTGCTCCAGTGATGGCAGACTACAACTTCCCGGCCTAAATTGCCGGCCTCTCAGCTGCAACTCTAAGCAACTATGTTGCAAATATAGAAGCTAAACAAAACCCCAGAAACTGGCTTTCAGTCAGCCGGGCTTCAGCCAGCCGGACCGCAACATTGTATCAATGTTTTCAGCAGCGAGGCCTCAGAGCTAAAGCTGGCCCAGAATAAAAAAAGAAAAAAGAAAAAAAAGGAGAGGTTGGGAGCTTCAGTCACCCGCCAGCCTGAAAACGGCCCTCAGCCCCTCAGCCAGACTGGCCAGGCACCCCAGTGGGGACCCCCACCCTGATCCAGGACACCCTTCAGGGCAAACCAGCCGGCCCCCAGGCCTCTATCCTATATAGTAAAAGGGTAATATGCCTCCCAGCACCGGGATCAGCGGAGCCGCGAGGCCTCCTGGCACCGG